AACTTTAAAAAAGAGACCATCCCAATGCTATTTAGGTGTTTCAGAGCAGAGCAATGAAAGAAAAACTTCCAAATTATTCTTATGAAAAAAATGTAAACCAGATTAAAAAAAAAACCTGACAAATAGTGATCAACAATAACAAATCCCTACAACCCTTTTATAAGTATCAGTGTGTGGGGGACTGGGGGAGGTGGGGGTTGTTTGTGTATGGTAGCAAATTCCATGACCCAGTGGAGTCTGCTGCAGGAATACAAAGATGGTTCAATATTAGGAAATCTACTAACAACATAGGAAGTTTAAGGAAACACTTTACATATATTAAGTATAAAAGGAAAAGTCATGTGATCATGCCCTACAGATGCTGAAACTCCATTTGACAAAATTCAACATCATGTCTGATTTTTAAAAAATAAGCTCAATAAATGGATGGTTTCTTAACAAAATAAATTTATCTTAGCTCCAAATCCAGCATCTTGCTTAATGGGAAATATTAGAGGCATTCCTAATAAGGCCGGAAAGAGACAAAATGTTCACTATTACCATTAATATTTAATACTGTGCTAGATGTACAAGCCAAAACAATTAGCAGACAGAAATGATTTTAGAGATAGAAAATTTGGAAACTATCAGTATTTGCAGATGATGTCATTTTATCCTGTGAACACCAAAGAGAATATAATGAAAACTACTGGAAACAGTAAGAGTCATTAAGGTAATGAGACTTAAAACCAGGAAGAAGCTCTCTATGCACTGATACGGCAAGATCAATAAGCTATATCATTAAGGAAAAAGAACAAGGTGCAAAATAGTGGTATGATAAGTAATATGATAACACAGATAAGAATATATATTCGTATTTGCTTATATGTGCATCAAGAAATTCTGGAAAGGTAGATAAGAAACAAACAACAGTGATAATCTAGTTGGAGGTAGGTGGAGGGCAAGATACAAGGGGCATGAAGGTGGTGAAGACATCATTTTCTTTATATTTTTGTACCATGTGGTGTATTAACTACTCAGAAATTAATATTAAATTAATTTTTAATTAAAAGAATTTGCTTAAGATTCTCAAAGAAACTCGAGGATGCCAGTTATTAAACTCCACACGGGCCCTTGAGATGCTGGGATTGGGCTTTTATAAATCTCATTTCTGCTTTGCTGGCTGCATCCAGGGGAGGTTCTGCCAATAGGAGGCATGACAGGGAGGCTGCAAGGCTGGAGGAAGAAGAGCCTTGCTCTTTCTGTTCTGCTTCCTGTGGGCCGAAGGACCCGGTGTTCCTTCCTATTCCTGTGAGTGGCATTCCAGCCACATATTATTCTGGCAGGGGTGGTTCCTGCCCCCAGCTACAACTAACAGTTGGTAGTTTTTCCAACATGGCCTTCCCTCAGAAACATCTGCACTTGGCCTTGGCTGATAGTCTCAGATGTGTGTCGGCACTCAGCCATATGGGTCGCCTCTGCTACCGTTTTAAGGTTTAGTGATTATAATCTCTTCCCTTTGCTCTTGCCTAGAAGTGATAGCTGCTTCTCGAAGTCGTTATTTATATGACACACTACTGTTCTCTCTTAGCTCTCATTTCTTTAATTATTAGTTAAAAATGCTTTATATTAAATAATCAGTTAAAGTAACTTGTGTTTTTTCTTTCTGACTCAAACCCGATGAATACACCTAGCAAATCTTTCTTTCTGTTTTTTGAAGCACATACTACTTACGAAAAAGATTAGATATTTGTGAGTGGGGCTCTCCTATAGGCTCATATAACTTTGAAAAATTATAGCAGAACAAGTCCGGTATTAGGAGAATTTGTTTATGTAAAAAATATAATTTGTTTATTTTTAGAGTACCTGGATAAATTTTTTCCTGGACCATCAATATACAATAGCAATATGAGTCACTGAAAGAAAGTACATTAGAAAAAACAGATTCTGTCCTTGAGTAGCTTCCTTTATATAAATCCTCAAAGATCCTCACCTACCCAGCCTGCATAATGCTGATTTCACTTATTGTACTATCTGAAGACATTTTTTTTGAGGTGATGCATTTTCAGTAGTCATACAAAGCTGACATGAATGATTAGTTCATCTGAAAAGAATTTTATTCACTCATGACTACAGTCCAGAAAACCATAACACTTTATTGTTATTTACTTATTCATAAGTGCAACACTTGAAAAATTATTTCTTCTTATTATGTAACACTAGTAGTCTACTAAATTTTAAGTAAAAAAAAGTCTTAATAGATGCCAGTGATATACTTGGTAAACGCATTATGACAATTGAACCATTAAGAATGTGTTTCTTGAGAGTACATCTTCTGCAAAGTTGTCTGAACCCTGGTTATTAACTTAGAACTGTCAAAAATGTTCAGATTTGTTATATGAAATCAGAGCCCCCACTGGAGTCTATCTAAAGCTTAAGCCATGTTGTTTTGGTCATGAAGCATGTAGGTTTACAGACTCAACTTGGTCTATGTAAACATTTCCCTTTTAAACAAATATTCGTAGTACAAAACAAGATCTTTGCAGAAAGATGTGAGAGGAGCAGGGGAAAAATAAAGAAAGGAAGGCTCTCACAGAGCCCTAGCCCCAGCAGTGATGGACCATACATTATCTTTTAAAGATGTAAACAGGAAAGGAAAAAACTTAAAACAGATTTAATTATGGTAGGGTGGGAATGAGCCAGTAGTCCTTTTGTATTACTTTGTAAAGATGCAGCATCAAGGGGCATTCACTGGTGATAATGAGCCACCCCTCCATCACCAACTCATTAAACCAACTCTGAATTCACTCATTAACAGTTACCACAGCTAGTTAGCATCAGTTTAAGACCTGGAAGCTAGCCTTTTGATAGCAGATGTGATTTACTGAATTATATTTCCCGCTATATTCTTTTGACTACTATAATACTACTATATTAGTCGCAGAATATTTTATGTCTATTCTAGAAAGGTGCATTTTCTACTAAAGTTTTACTGAGAAACAAAAAAGAAAGAAATACGTTTTTACAGTTTTGGTTTGAATGTACAGGATAATATCTATCTAGCTATCTCTATATATATATGTATATAAATGGATTATAGATATATATAGATTAGATACAGATATATACCTAGATATACATATATATACACACACACACATACAGAGGGTGCCAAAAAATGTATACACATTTTAAGAAAGGAAAAAAATTAAAATTATCATACTCAATATGTACTGATAATAGAAGATGAATACAAGTCACGCTGGACTTCTGTAATCACAAGAGGTTACCATCAGCATCCAGACACTTCTGATTACTGTGAACTACTACTGCTTGAGCAATGTTGACCAAAGTGTCCACTTGCATACATTTTTTTGGCACCCCTGGTATACACACACACACACACACACACACACACACACACATATACATATATACACATACATATACACATATATACATATATATATACATACTATCACAAGGATGGACAGAAAAAATATATATAACAGAAGTACAGCACAAATAGAGATGTTCTAATGCTACCTTTATAGCTCAGAATATTAGACATGGAGAAATGCCCAATTCTGATCTTACATCATAATCACCTGGGAAGCTTTTTAAAAATGATAGATTCCCAGACTTTCACTCTAGGCATAATAAAATAGAATTTTCTTGAAATATGTGCCAATCTGGCACCAGTCTATGGAACAGCATTTGTGCACCGTTCGCATAGGGGGAGGAAAATGCTTATGAGCTGATTCGGAACCCCTTTCCAGTCACCTCTTTGCTGTGCGACCCTCAGCAGCTCACTGCACCTCTCTCTACACATCAGTTTTCCCTCCAGTTAAATGGAATAATAATACCTACTGCCGATAGCAAAATTAAGTGAATGGGAAATACATATGCATGTTAAATCTCACACAAAATTTAGATACTCTATTACAATGAAAGTTTATTAAAACCTAGGTTTAAATAGACATGTTAAAAAACAACCCACTCATGAATAGATACTTACATTACAGTCAGTATATAAGGTTACATTGAGCAAATTCACAAAGGGTAACAGAAATAAAAGCTTTTATCAACAGGGGAAAAAACTACAATGGCACTGATTTTGCTACAATTCAAGACCATTTTACCTAACATCACAAAGAAGCTGTAACCTAATTAATCCCTGTTGATAGAACAAAATGGAAGCTCTCTGCATAATATTTCAGTGCCTTTGGTTTCACCTCAGTGTCCCAAACAATTCTAATGAACATCAACTTCTCACCAGGGTTTTTGGTTGAAACCTTAAATCCTATTTGGAGAAAAATGGGGCTAGAAGGAGCTAGGAATGTCAAGCTCAAATCGGTGATTTTGGTTGTTTCCAAATGGCTCTTTAAGCCCTTAGTATGATAACACTCCTCAATGGCTTTCCAAGTTCTCAATTTCTCAACAATTACTATTACCGTCCCTCCTCCATCTCAGATCTCCTTTTGTGAAAAGATATCAAGTCTCAGCCAAACGATAAGAGGTTAATTTCTGATGGTTCCCAATTCCTTAAATTGATCAGCTACAATTGCACAGAGAAAGTAAATTTGCTCAGTATAAAAGGCCACTGAACTCACAATTTAAAATTCTTTCTAATGAAATTCCTTCCCTTCCCCACCAAATTATCACTCTATCAATTTTCTTTATTCTCATTCACAGATCATAGCATTTTAAAAAAGAAAAATACTGGCAGCCTTTAAGCAGATTCCCCAATACAGTGGCAAAATCTATTTTAAAAAAAAATCTATTGCTAAATTGTAAGAAAATATTTTTTTCTCTAGTCGTGAGGGTTGGGTTCCCCCTCCTCCCATTATTTATCGAGGTTACATAATGCTTCAATTCTGCTCCTCCGTAGCATGATGATGTATACATAATGCAAATATCTTTGCTGGAATTACAATGGCAATTTGTCAACTTATGTGCAGCTAATCAACCCATTTGCTTTCCAGGGTACAGCAGTAAAAGCTTATCTCATGCAGACTCACGGATCGTTCAAAGCAATCTAATTGAATTTCAGGGCCAAGAGCATTGCACAACACGTGATGTGTCTCCAGTGGAGCACAGTGCCAGACACTGCAGGCGTTACATAATCCCATGCTGTCGTTGGCAGAGGCCGCCTTCTCAGCCTCCTCGGTGGCTTGGCAGTCCGTGTCCCCTCCAATCATGCCCTGCAGCTTTAATCTGCACAGGGTGTTCACATGGACAGTCACATGTTTTAAGACTTTCACCGCAGCAAATAAAACAGGGACCCTTTCCCTACTGATAGAAAGAGTTCATTAAAAGCAGTCATACAGCACACACCTTTCTACCAGGATAGAAGACACACGTGACACTGCAGCTTCTAAGCAAGCTAGCAAGAAAGCAAACATCAACTATTCTACTTTGCAAATAACTAACTGAAATAATAAGAAATATATATCTTGGTCTCTACCCCCCAGTTCCTACTAATAGTTGGTCTTTACCCTGATTCCTGACAAGAAGCTCCTGAAACCCTTGTAATTTCCTGAGGGATGGGAGTGCCTGACACACAGCTCCTAAATCCCTTGGTTTCCTAGGTGACAGGAGGGTGTTTTGTTCTAATGAAGCATTCTCTTGGTGGGCTCCTGGATAGGGGCTGGTCACCAGAAAGACCAAGTCATGATGAGAAGTTTGGAATTTTCAGCTTTTACTTCTCACATTTCAGAGAGGGAAGAAGGGCTGGAGATGAAGTTAACAATCTATCATGCCTACATAATGAAGCTTCCATAAAATCCCTGAAGTCCAGTGTTTGGAGAGTGTGTGGGGTTTACCGAACAGGTGGAGATGCTGGGAGGGTGACACACCTGCAGAGGGCGTGGAAGCCCCACACCCCCAGCCACACACACTGTCCTACGCATCTCTTCCATCTGGCTATTCCTAAATTGTATCCTTTTGTAATAAACTTGTAATGTAGTAAGTAAACTATTTTTCCTGAAATATGTGAGCTGCCCTAGCAAGTTAGCAAACCTGAGGAGGGGGTCATGGAGCTCTCGGATTTACAGCTCAGTCAGTCAGAAGCATAGGTAACAGCTTTTGCTTAGTATCGGCATCGGAAGAAAGGGAGTCCTCGTGTGGGGCTCAGGCCTTAATCTGTGGTATCTCAGGCTCTCTCTAGGTAGGTAGTGTCAGAATTGAATTGTTGGACACCCAGCTGGTGGTGGCGACTTGATCGACGGGAGAAAAACCTAGCCAGAAGTAATAGAGTGAAAGTAAAGGAAAATAGTGTATTTTGCCTACACTCGAGGATATAAAATATTATGTCTGCCATTTCAAATGAATTTTCAAATTGGGAAGGTGTAGGAATTACATATTTAAGACGCTACGTAGAGTAGCTGTCAGACATGAGCTGGCTCTTCCTGAGCGTGAGCCACAGGGGCCCTATCATCTCCCAGCCTCATACTCGGATGCTCATCATTTTATTTCCAGGGGTGAATTAGAATACGCACAATTTAAAAACAAGTATATTAGTTTTCATGTAGTATTATTAGATACGAAAATGTTGAGCTATTATACATACCTAGATGTTTAACCCTTGTCCTTTTTCCATTTTATTGCTAATGTTGTTTCCGAATGTAAAAAAAAAAAAATCTAAAACTGAGAGTGGAATACAATATACACTAAAAAATAAACTCCTACCCATATTTTAGGTTTTAAATTTTTTAAAACATACTATGTACAAGATCCTGAACCCAGGCACATGGTGATATATTCAGACTTTTTTTTTTTTTAAAGAGAGATCAGTTTAACCTATACCAGGGTTATCTACTAGAATTTTCTGTGATGGTGGAAATTCAATGGAGAGAAACAAAAACGAAAACAGAGTACACAAACCATATTTTTTATGGTTCTAAGATGTGTCTATAGCTCCACCAAATTAAAATATCACCAAAATAAGTCATGTAATATTACAATAGCTAAAAAATAAGCAAGCTATCAATTGTATAAAAGTGTCACTAAAAAACAGAATTCTGAATAAAAGGTGACTGTTATTGGAAGTAACTAGATTTAGAAAAAACATTTTTTTGCTTTCAGTATAATTTGGAACCAAGTAAAAAATTATTTTTCTCAAGATAAATAGTGGAACTAATTTTATTCTCATGTACTTTTTATATGTTATATCTTAAGAAAAATTTGACTTCTTAACATATAAAGAGAAAAACACTGGTGATTCCTATTCTCACCAAAAAATAAAAAAAAAATTTTTTTTGCTTTGATTTCATGTGACCTGAATAAATATTGACAATTATGGAGTGAGCACTAAAAATATATATGGGATAAAATAAAATACTAATTTAAAGCTGTGGCCTTGAGAAAGTCTGTGGGATAAATCATTTGTGAAATGGTGACACCTACTGATAAGTTGTGATACTGCAGCCCAGCTCTACAGGCTTGTCCATTTTATCATCTGAGAAGAGCCAGAAAGATTTCAGTGCAAAACACGAGTATCACTACCATGAGGGGAGTGGACATGGGAGACAAGGAAGGACAAAGAATAGGTACTTATGTTCCTGCTGACCGTTCCCCTCCTAACGCTCCCAGTCCTCACGCCCTTCAGTGCATAGCACATTCCTTTGAATAGCTTTTAGTTTGGGACTTATGACAGATACAGGAATGCCGTCCTTTTCAAGTGAAACTGCCTTAGAAGTACCTTCCATAAGCTCTCACCTGGACAACTACCATTCTCTCTTACCTGACCTCTCTGCCTACAGCATTTCTTTTTTCTTTTCTTTTTTTTTTTTTATTGTTAGTTTCAGGTGTACGGAACAATACAATAGTTATTCTTTTCACCCTTCACACAGAAACAACCCCCTTCCCCCATCCACTGCCCTCCCACCCCCGATATCATACTTATCTATTACAATTCCATTGACTCCATTCCCACTCTCTACTCCACGTCCCGTGACTATATGTATACATAATTATAGTTGACATACAATATTATTCAACATCAGTTCAGAAATACAGTGCGGTGGTCAGGCCTCTACACCAACTATTAAGTGGTCTCCCTGACAAGACATGAGTCCATCTGGCCCCCTAAAAACTATTTACAACATTATTCATTATATTCTGCCTACAGCATTTTTCACCAATGGTTATCACCAAGAGATTAGCCTTACAGAGTTACTCAGGTCAAAAATATTTCTTCAGAAGCTTCAAGTTGGCTGTCTGCAAGGTGAATTCTGGTCCCACAGCTTTGACTTTAAGACATTCTCTAAGCTGTTTTACTTTCCAAATGTATATCCCAGTACAGCTGAAATAAAACTGCACCATATACACAGATTACTCCCACCAAGACCAGTGCTCAGGTGATTTGTTCCCAAACCTTATCCTGAGCTATCCCGCACTTACCCCCTGACCCTCTGCACAAGGCACGGCTCCTGATGTTGCTGGGGATTTTCTCTCCAGAGCCTGGGACTCATGGATTACTCCTTAATGTGGTTCTTTTGCTATTCATCTCTTGTATCCTTCTTTGAACACAACTTGCACTTACTGTTTAGACTATTTCACTTTCAGCCACTATAGCCCAGCCCCAGGTCCCAGCCTCCCACCCCGGCCAACACGCCTGCTCGGCTTCCCCTGTCCCATGAGCAGGACCCTGCTCCCTGCATGCTACGCACACGCAGTCTCTAGATCTTGGCTCACGCTCTCATCCATCCTGGATGCCCCTTTCATTCCCCTCTGCTTATATAAGCTGCATTCTTTATTCGTTTTACAAATGTTTACTGAGGAATCCAAGATGCTGCAATGAGTACTGCAGATAACAGTAATAAATACAAAAGACAAGGTTCTTACCCTCCTGTAGTTACAGGCCTATTGAGGAAAACAAATAATAAATAAGTAAACAACAACAAAAAAGTAGATGTTGCATTTTCTGAAATGTGCTGTGGAAAAAAAAATGAATAGGATGACATAACAGAGGACAACCGGGGGAAGTTATTTCAGCTAGCGTTGTCAAGGAGCGTTGGAGCCGGGAGTGTGACAATTGGGCTGAGACCTAAAGGATAAAAAGGAGTCAGACACACAAATAGCCAGAGGAACTGCATTCTAGGCAGAAAGAATAGCAAATGCTATTCCTCTACATGGAAGGGGATTATTTTGCTTGGAGAACAGGGACCATTGTGGCTACACTATAGTAAAATAAAGGAAAGCGTTTAAAAAGATGACACAAACTAGATCATGCAGGACCTTACTTATTCGGGTAAGAAATGCGAATTTTCTTCTGAAGAGCGAAGAACAACATCAAGAGGTTTTAACATGAGAACGGCATCATCTGTTTTATTATTTACAACTGTGGTGCTATGGGAAGAATGGATTGCTGGTTAGAAACCATGGGAGCAGGGAGATGAGCTAGGAGGTCATAGAATAGTCCAGGCAGGAGGTGGTGATGTCTTGGATCGGGATAATGGACTTAGACCAGAGGGTGGCAGGGCAGACAGGCAGCTGTCTAGGTAGACCATTTCTAGGTAGAAGCCATGGCACTAACTGATGCATTTGCTGTGTGGGATAAGAGAGAAGGTGGAATCAAGAATGACAACTAAGCTTTTGATTGAGTGGCTTGGTGGCTGGGGATGCTATGAACTAATAAGAGGAATTCAGGGTGAGGAGGGCGTCAACGACTCAGTCCTTGGGATATTCGAGAACCCAGCTAAAATTCTACCTCCTGCCTGAAATTTCCTAGGACCAAAAATCCCATCATGAGCTATTCCTACAAAGTTAACATAACACTCATTTTTAGCGTCTTAAGCTTTATGAATAATTCCTAGGAAATGGTTTGTAGCCATCCCAAACCTGTCCAAAGTGTCTTTGGTGCCTGACTTAACATTCAGCCTCTAACACCTATATAATCCACTAGCAGGTAGCATACGTGTAGTCTTAACATATATTATTTACTTTTCACATGTACTCACATGGCATGCATCCTGTATTAGAGCACCAACTTCCTGTGGGCAAATAATTGATACTTCCTGGTGTCTTGTACAGAACTTGGTACTGTACTTTGTATGAAGCAGGCTTTTAATAAATGTTTGTTGCTGGTGATAAAGAGTATAATGTTTAACAGTGGCATTAAATTCTGAAAACTCAAATTCCATTAAACATATACCATCAATCAACGTGGTTCTGATACAGCTGACCATTCAGCATTTGGGGGACTAGAAATCAAACAATTACCTTTCAATTCAGGTACACTGGTAGACTTATTGGGAAAATCCATTCCAAATATTCATTTTATAGAAATTTTTCTTTAGTCAGTTTTCACTGAAACGTACCTATGCTAGTGGTTCTCTAACTCACACAGAAAATAAAGGATTTAGCATCAGTGAAACTGGCAATTATGCATAGGCCAGCAGTATCTAACAGTGAGATACCAATATTAATGGCACACTATTAATATGTATATGTGGGGAAAAGTTAAGACCTCCTGCTCCTATACTATAAAGCAAGAAGGACACATATACAGTATTTGTCACAGAAACATGAACTTAGCATGGATACAGGCAAGTAAAATTTATTACGTAATGTGATAAAATTCCCATCGGAGGAAGGTCAGTGGAGAAGTTTCTTTTTGCTCACCCTCAAGTGTCCCAGGTGGAGGAACTCCGTTAGTGACACTTTTGACCTCTCTCTGCCCTTACTCCTCTTCGGAAATCGGGAAGCACCTTCTCTGGTTGGTGCATTGTAAAGGAGGAGTGAGAAGACGCTCAGCGAAGCCTCTCCTAGTTGTTCCTGACCACAAAAGCAGGTGAATTCTGGACTGCTCTCTGCCATACCCTAAGAGGCTGATCCCTTTGGGGCAGTGAGGGGTTGTTATTAGGCTGAGGCAAAATGTCAGTAAACAAAGGTCTAAAGCATATTTTCCAGTGTATATTCCAGCTATTAAGTTGACATCTGAAGTCTGAATGACTCCTATGTCTCTCAATTGTTCCAAATCCTAGGAGAGGCAAGTTATTTAAGAAGACTCCTCAAGCCCTAACAATAACAAATAGTTTGAATTAGAACCATACGAGTTATTGACTTTTCGTTTTGGGCTATAGAGCTAAATAGAAGATACAACACACTTAGATGTTCTAGGAACACGGCATCTATAATACCAGCAAAATAGCGTCTATCCTACCATCCTCTCCCATATGCTTCCTTAGTCACTTATAACCACGCCCATCCTTATGAAAACCTGAAGGAGGAAGCTGCACTGGAATAACATTTTTCCACAGGTCACTGACATCCTGCTCAAAATTACTCTACACATTGTAGAAGAATGAAAGTTTATGTAATGCATCTTTCTTAAATTCAGGTTCATTACTCATGAAACTCAATCTCCCTCCAAATTAAAATGGCATTTCCCTTTTGATGTTGCTGCCATTTGGATGCTCAAAATATGCAGAGCAGACATAGCTTCTTGTCTAAAATTCTTTGCCAAACAACCCCTCTGTCTTTATTTGAGAAAATCTGGTAGGAGTAGGAATAATTCTGCACCTAATGAGTTCAGTTCTATATGACGTCTATTTGTCGTGCTAAGTAAGCACTGTTGACACACAAGACAGGTAAGACTCTTCCCATGGTCTTCTCCTTCACAATAAACACCACATCCATTCTTCCAGTTGCTAAGGCCACATTCCTGGGACTCGTTTTTTGACATGTCTTTCTATTATACCTCACATTCAATTAATCAGCATAGCAATAGTTATTCAACAATGTTTTCTTATTATAAGCTTGGGGAGCAGCTTTTGTCTACCCTCTGATATTTCCGGCAGGAATTTATTTACTTTCTAGTCATTCACATTAAGAATCTAAATCCAAAAAAGAGAAGGAGAATCAGAGAAGCATGAGAAAAAGAACCTCCAAAGATCACCTGGCTCAGCTTTCACTTTTAACATAACACATTTTAACATGACGCATGAGGAGGTGAGATTCCCACAGCTACTAGGTGATATATCAAGAGCCCTAACATCCCAGACCAGTGCTCTCGACACTAAGTTTACTTTAATTGCCATATCTGGTCTGTGTACAGTCAGATTGATTAAGTTCATTTTTAATAAAGTTGTATATAGTCAAGAATCTATACATGACATTTTGTTTTCTCATTCATGTGAGGTCAGAAAACCGTCTAACTTCCCAATCATATCTTCTGGAATTTTGTAGCTCTGAAGTCCTCAAAGAAAGAGCCAAAGTTCACAGAATACTTGGAATTATTGGGGCCATTCTCTCGTGTCCATGTTTATATCATGGAAACTTCATGTCTGTGTTGCCAACATTAATAATCTTCTGATGATATTGTTCACTGAGGATCGTTCTCCTCATTAACCCTGGAGATTTTTTTCATTTTTGATTGTTCAGGAGTACACGTAGAAGGACTCTGCTATTCTTTGACCCACCAATAGAGGCTATGAACAATTGGAATCAGCACAGCCATAATCTCCACAGACAATGTCTATGACTTTCCACTTCCAACTTCAAAAAGTGTACCTAGAGTAGGGTTCTCTGAGATCAGGCTCAACCTTAACTTATCAGGTTTTTAAATGGTATGAATATGATTCTGCATTGAAAGCCCACATGCACATAGCTTTGTCAAACACAATAGTATATCTACATGGGATTGTAACAATAAATTCAGAGGAAAAAAAAGAAATGCTTCTTTCCAGAACTATTTTATTTTCTCATTTGAGTTCTCTTAATTCATGTTATCTAATTGAATATTAAATCAAAAACAAAATTACATTCAGTAAAGAAGAGCTGATGATAGATAAAAACCAAAAAGAAATCTTTCTAGAGTAAACCCTTTTATAATTCAACCTGCAACCACTTTTAGTGTTGAACTATTAACATTTTTAGGTTTGGATATAGCCACTGAATGCTTAGTATATTTGGTAAAATAAATCAATTACAGTAAGTTGTTTTTATCTTAAATACCCTTAAGAGAAAGATAAAAGCTAGATGACCAGGAACCAAGCAAGTTCATTTTTGTGTATCGTTCCCTTGGATTGCCATAAATATTCATGGACTTCCCTAATGCACCTCATTGTATTCTGCCCACAGAAATATCTGAGACAAATGTGAAGTACAAACAAGCGTAACACACTACACCATTATGTGTGTAAGACATTTCAATAAATGTACCGAAAATAATAGCAGTGCACAATAAAATCAGACAAAAGATGTTCACATTAAAGTCTGTAACCTAATTCTAACCATTCATTTACCACACACTGGTTGTGTGTATTAAATTGGAGTAAAAAGCTAAATTTAAGGAAATTCACTGGTGAACAGGTATAAAAATTGGTTTTTTAAACTGTTCCTGGATTTTTTTCACTCCTCTTAGCTTTGTGATACATCTAAAATGATTGTTATTGATGTTATTAATGATATGTATATGGTGTTATCATCATTGTTAATGATGACTGTCATTCTTGTACAGCTCAGACTGCCTCTCTACTTCCAGAATAATATACCTCAGTCTAATTTGAACAGGTGGTGTTTTCTCTCAGACACTTTTGATTTTCTGCTACCACGTTCCATGCTTCATGTTTACTGCATTTACCTATACAGTAAAACCTTGGATTGTGAGCAATGTGGTTTACGAGTGTTCCACAGGACAAACAAACATTTCTAATACATTTTAACTTGGTAAATGAGCGATGTCTTGCAATACGATTAGTGTGTTTCTGGAACGAATTATATTTGCAAACCAAGGTATTACTGTATCTATAAATGTATTTCTGAATGACCCAAGAAAATTCCCTTTTCCTATACAGTTAGTGAAGTAACCAAATCATTTAAAATCTCATGGGAGAGATTATACCAGAATCATAATTAAAATGATGAATAATCTTAATTTAGTGATGCAAACAGTCACTTGTTGAGGACAGAAGGAATTACTCTCTGAATGTATCTTGAAGTCTATTTTTCTGATGCTGCTTTCCCTACTTTTGTTGGCGTGAGAGAACTGGTTTAAAACATACAAGGAATAGAAATACTTTACGCCTAAGAAAACGATGCTGCCTTAAAATATCAGAAAAACTATTTTATAAACCAGGATATTTACAAAAGTAACACTAAGACTTGAGTTGTTTTCTTTCTTACAATAATGGGAACTTATCACTTCATTGTTATTTCCATATGCAGATGCAAGGAATAAGGCTAGGCTATACCATGGGCTAAAGGTCATGTTCCCATTTATGTTACCTTTATTTCTATGTGGATATTAAAAATAACTGGCCGCTTACCAAAATAAATAGTAGAATTGTGCATGTGTGGTTTACAAGTACTTGTAAATAGTAACACAGCACTCCTCCAGAAAAGGTACATTTTTCAGTGAAGAATTTAAGTGTATATTTTTCTCTGAGAGGACCAAAGGATAAATTGCTAAATTGATATTCCAGAATAATTCTTTAATTTGTATCAAATACAGAAACTCCAAACCATATCTGAAATTTCCAATTCTTTGTGATTGTGCTGAAACACTGTCAAAAGGCTCCAGAAAAAAAACTGAACTATGCTTTCAAGAGTCAGTCCAAGGTTCATGGAGTAGAGAGCGGGAACGGATTCAATGGAATTGTAATAGATAAGCATGATATCGGGGGTGGGAGGGCAATAGATGGGGGGAGGGGGGTTGTTACCTGGTGAGGGTGAAAAAAGGGTAACTATTGTATTGTTCTGTACACCTGAAACTAACAAT